GTGGCTGTAGCGTGCCTGATTCCTGGTGCTTGTTTCTGCTGCTGTCCCCTCCCCTGGTGCTGCGTCGCACTGCCTGTCAGAGTGGTGAAACCCCCTCAGCCTGCCTGTGCTTTCGTCCCTGCAGTGTGCAAGTATGTGGCAGTGGAGCTGAAATCTGCTTTTGAGGAGACCGGCAAGACCAAGGAGGTGATTGACACCAAGTACGGCTTCCTGGATGGGAAGGGCTCTGCCGTCAAGTACACGCAGTCGTAAGTGAGAGGGACGGGTGGTCTCCTGCTGCCAGCACTGCCTGCAGTCTGCAGAGCCGGGGGCTTCGTGAGCCTGCAGGCAGGCTGCGCTGCGCACAGCCCCTCTGAGAAAACTAAACTGCAGTGGGGCTGGAGGGGTGGGTGGGGCAGCTGGGGGGTGCTCCTTCTGCCTCGGAGAGCCTGGGAGCTGCAGAGCACTCCCCCATTGCACCGGATGGGCTGAGGGTCGCCCGGTGCCCTGGCTGTTCTTGGGGAGGCAGTGCCAAGCCCGAGGCCTCCCTCCTCTACGTGCAGGGACATCCGGTTAATCGAGGTGACAGAGAACATCTGCAAGCGGCTGTTGGATTACAACCTGCACAAGGAGAGGAGCGGCAGTAACAGATTTGCGAAGGTGAGGGCTGCCCTCCAGTCCCCTGCTCCCAAGCGTCCCTCGCCCACCCCTGCACTGCCAGGGCGCTGAACCAGGGTTCACTCTTCCCATCCCCTGGATCCCCTGCCAGCACCCAGCATGAGAGGCCGCGCTGCCCCCCAAGTCAGGTGTGTTGTGCTGTCCTTGGTGGGGTGGGCAGGCTCTTGCCTGCACAGAGGGAGCCAGGGGCTGTCTTGCCTAGCCCATGTGTCTTCCTCTTGGTTTTGGGAGCGGGTTTTCAGAGGGGGCCTCGCTGCCACTTGAACTCTGTCGTGGTAATGCTGATGCCCCAGGGACCCTGATTTTGGCTGGCTTGCACGTACCTGCATCCCTGGGCAGGGTCATGTGGCCGGCGCTGGGAAGGGAGAGCGGGAGCCCGGCGGGAAGAGCACTGCTTCACTGGGCGGCCCTGCTCCCCCAGGGCATGTCGGAGACGTTCGAGACGCTGCACAACCTGGTGCACAAGGGTGTCAAGGTGGTGATGGACATACCCTATGAGCTGTGGAATGAGACCTCCGCTGAGGTGGCTGACCTCAAAAAGCAGGTACCCAGCCTGGTGGGATTGGCCCTTGGTGGCTGCCATGACCTCAAGGGGGGAGAGGGTCTGGGGGTACTCTGCTGGGAACAAGGGTGTCAGCGGGACCTGCTGCCTGGTCCTGGTCCTGGTCCTGCGCCTGCCCCGGTGGCGCGTGGCTGGAGCTAGGCTCTCCTCTCCACGCTAGTGTGACGTGCTGGTGGAGGAGTATGAAGATGTGATTGAGGACTGGTACAGGCACCACCAGACAGAGGATCTCTCCCAGTTTCTCTGCGCTGATCATGTGCTAAAAGGGAAGGACACAAGTAAGTCCTGGCCGCTGCTGGGGGCAGCGCAGGCGTGCTAGGGAGGGTGGGGGAGCCCCTCCAGGGCCCCGGGAGCCCTGCTTCTCCCTCAGGGACCCCTCTGCCTCTCCTCCCCAGGCTGCCTGGCAGAGAAGTGGACTGGCAAGAAGGGTGACTTGGCAAGCAGGGGGGAGAAGCAGAGCAAGAAAAAGAGCGGGAAGAAGAAGAAGAAGGGCCAGAAGGATGAGGGGGAGGGAGCTGCCAGCCTCCTGGCCGCAGGGGAGGCCCTGGAGGAGAGCGGGGTCCAGGAGGAGGCTCCGCTCACCCACAGCCCGGTGGATGAGCTGTAGGCACACAGTCCCCCCGGCTCCCGGGGCCGCCTGCGCTGGGGTCTCGCCCCAAGGAAAAGGGACTGCCGTCGCGGCATGA